AAATAGAGCAACCAGAACAAGCGTGTTAGTAGGGTGATGCCTCCTTACTCCTCTCTTTCCTGCCCCACCTCACTGCATTCCTCCATCCTTCAAGGGAGGAGAAGCACTGGGGGTCTCCAGCCCTCATGTGGTGGGTCAGGGCTCTGGTGGAGCTGCTCTAAGTGAGGTGTTTTCATAGAACATATTGGGGTTCAGAAAACAAACCTGCAAGCAACACTGAAATGTGCTGCTGCTGCCTTCTCTGTTTTCACTCTGTTTACAGTCTGAGCTGTTCTGTGGATTGGTGTAATGCCTGTGTGCACATTGACTCACTGTGGCTTGATCCTCTAGAGAAATGAGGAGAGAGAACTTTCTAAGAAACCTGAATATAAAAGATAGTGATACTCTTTTTGAGCTGAAGGGCTTTAAGTGAGGATAAGAAGCAACAAGCATCCCACCTCAAGGCTTTGGAAAGTAGGAAATGACTGCTTTAGCAGCACTAATGTTCTGCTTGCAGCCACGTGTGAATGGAAGGATTTTCTACTAGAGAAGGAAATGATCTGTAGGCAGCTGGTACCTGAGGAGGGCTGCACTGTCTGACAGAGATGCTGGATGGCAACCCATGGAGTGAGGCTGGATGAGGGCTCCCCCAGGGCCCTGTGAGCTGCCTGAAGGGACCAAGAGCAGGGAGTGAGTCTTTTAGAGATGGGTGGTGGGAAGCAAGCAGTGGCCAAGGGCTCACTTCAATGCTTTAGGTGATCAGAAGGGTGAAGGGGCAGTCTAAAGCCAACTGGAGATGCCAAACAAAACCTTGCTTGGTCTCCAGTGGTGAATTGCTTCATGGGAACATGCTGTTCAGGTGCTTTATTGAATTTTCAAGGAGCAGTTTTTCACTGGGGCTGATATCTGAGAGAGAACAGAGTGTTCCAAGTCACTAAAAATGAGCAGAGCAACAGCTTTACAGGTTTGTGAGTGGCAAAAAAAAAAAAAAAAAGGTTTATTTAATAATAGGGAAAAAGCCAGAACATGGCCCAGGGTATCAAGGAAGAATTAATCCAATTAACAAGACAAAACATGAGCTTGAGAAGAAATACTAATTGTAGCTGTCCAGCAGATTGTGTGATACAGATTATTTTTCTAAAGTTTAAAGAGGCTTGCAATATTGATCCCTCAAGGGCCCGAGCTGTTAAATATACACTTCCCCAGTGAGTAAAACAAGTTGTTAATTAATTTTGTCTTGTCAGACCTGGTTGCTGAGCCTTTGAGTCTTGCGTGAAGTCAACGATTTTGTAATGTATCTTCTTTTCTGGGTGGCCTGGATTTCATTTTGTCTCTACGCAGTGAATTTCTAGTGATATGCACAGGAAGATTGGCCCTTTCCTTGTTTCAGAGCGAGCTGCAAACGGGCCTGCAATTTAAGATGTATCATGCCATTGCAAGCTACAGCAGGCTGGCACTGAGAGGTCAGTGAGACACAAGGGAAGTTTGGGGTGATGTGGGAGCCCTCTGAATGGTGACACCTCTGTAAGTAATAAGTGAGAGCACTGATGTGCTGGCATTGTGTGGTGAGCAATTCCTGCCTCTAGCAGCAGTTGTTACAGCCTACAGCACTGGTGCTGAGGCTGACACAAAATGTTGTTTGGTTGTGACTGGGACACCTGCTCAGCTCTGGTCGTTTCTCTTCTGAGATGTGCTGGCTCTGCAGAACTCTAAGTGTTTTCCAGTCCATCTGGGAGCAGATTGGGGTGGAAGGACATGTCATCTGCCTCTGGACACAACATCTTGCAGATTGCCTCTCAATAGATAGCTAGGCTGAAGAGTTAGCCCACTGGTTGTGCAAGGGAATGGGAAACAAGGGGCCAAACAAATTGAAAGCCAAATTGAAAGGTTAAAACAAGACTGAAATAAACCGTTGAAGTAGAAAACTACCGTATTAGAAAACAGTATGTGGTGTGGTCATTAAGCTTCAGATTCCAGCATCGTGCTTTTTCAGAACATGAGCAGAGCTGTCAGTAATTCCAGCATCATCTTTGTACTGAATAATTGATATGGGAGGACCTCTTTGGAGCAGATGTGTTATTTTACTTCATGTCCTGTTGGAAAACGAGTTTGAGGTGAGCCACTGAAAGAGCCAGGTGAAACTAAATGCACGAGAGATTAATACGAATTCCTAATCCAACCAAGGGAAGCTCTAGCACTGGGAAGAGTATCCCCTGTTTCACTGACAGTCTTAGTTACCCCATCACCATCTCTGCAGCCACAGTGGTTCTGTGGGCCATGGGAGCCTGCACACATCTAACAAACACACGGTGTTTCTCTTACATTCTTATTTTTCCTTTGATTGTTTCTTTGGCTTTTGCCAACTTTTATCCTGCCGTTCCCCTGCCCATCCCCTTTCTTTCTCTCTTACACAAAGTGCTGTCGTTTATTTTCTGTCTTTGTTTTCTTTCCCTCCTGATTTTCTTTGTCCCTATCTGATATTCTGATCTCCTTCTCTGGAAGGCAGGCTGCAGGGGAGATTTCATTATCAGTGCCTTGAAACAAACCTATTGGGACTTGAAACGGACAATCAGACATTGGAGAAGTGATGTAAGAACACATTGCCAACAACCCTGAAATTCCAAAAGGTAGAAGCAATCCGTGGGAGGTCAGTGGAAAACAGGGTTTTTGCTAAAGGAGGATAAACAATATAGAGACTTCTTGGGGTTTTTGTTTTTTAGAAAAGATTAAATGGATGATCTTTATCTCCCTCTTAATAGCTATATCACAAACTAATCTATTCTGTTCATTTCTTCCACATAAACCAAACAAAACATACAAAAGATTGTTGGAGGTGAAGGAGAAGCTGGGTTTTTGAAACGTATCCAAGCCACCAAGCCATTTACTTTCCTTTCAAATGCTGCATTAGCAGTAGAGCACTAAATCAATGAAAAGTCTAAAATTAGATTATATTCCTGAGATCAGATGTGAATCACAAGTTAATCATATTTTCTTTTATTATCACTGTCTTTACCCTTTTATTTTGTCCTGAGAAATTAGGTTTCTGACTTCAAAACAGTGAACTGTGAAGGCATGCAACCTGCTGGGTTAGGCCACGGCCCATCACTAGTGGATGAGATACCAAAAATCATTTCTTTTGGAGGTGTGTGTTGCCTCAGAACCTGAGTTAGTCATTTATTAGCCAGTGCTACGTCTGCCTCTCTCCCAGCCCCCTGATGGTTTCAGTCGCTGCTTTTAGAAATTAGTGAGAAAATATTGCTACTGAGGCTTGCTAAACGAGGTTTAAAACCCAGTCTGAAAGTTACAGGGTAGCACAGCAAACAGTTCTACTGACTGCGCCGTGGATCTCAGAAAAATATATTTCCTGTTGGTAAATTTTTTAGCTGAACCTGTGGTGAAATGCACGCATGACTGAAAGCAGAGGTACTGCAGGATCAGTGTGCGAACGAGGCACACAAGCATGTAGGTGGTGTGTACCTATTCCTGTGAAACAGCAGCTGTAGGAGTAGTATTACCCTGCAGCACGATGAGTCCCAGGTTTGTGTGTGATGCAGGAATATGAATGTGCACTCTGGAATTTGGTGATGGCATTGTGTGCATTTCTAGCAGGGGTTTATCTTGGATGTGTGCGTGGCTGGTAGGAGATGCAGAATCAAGCTGACTTGCTCTGTGAAGTGTGTCAGAATCTATGGATGCAAAAAAAAAAACCAAAAAAAACCAACACTACGTACAATGCTGGTTTAGCAAATAAAATGGTTTGCCTGTAGGATAAAATTTATGTGGGCAAGAAGATGGTGTTGCAGGAGGGCAACCTAAAGACCCTTGTAGTATGTGTCCATTCCCAGCAGGGAAGTACTGCCACTGCTGTCTGACATGCCTTGAGCTATTTATTCTCTCTGCTGCCCAATTGCATTTCAGTATGGATGCACTTGGAGGAAAAGCAGGGTGTGGGAACAGAGTGAATGCATGTGCCAGCAGCATAACCCTCTTATGAATGAGCATTCATGCCATTGCTGAGCTGTGCACTGGTGCAGCACTCCTTTGTGCAAGGTATGTCAGGGTGGGCTGCACGTGATGGCCTGAGCCTGTGTTTGTGATCAGAAGGAGACAGGTGTATGTAAAAACCTCCTCCACCTTTCCTCTGTGCAGCCACAGAGCTTGCCAAGGCGTAATTAATGGGGCTCTCATGTTTCAGGGCAGACTATCGAGCAGCTGCAAAAGTGCCAGCTCAGTTGGTAGCCTCAAAAACAAAACATCTCTTGTTTCTCATCACCACTGCGAAATGCTGCCTTCCTGAGTCTTGGGTCTGGCCCTGCAGCTTTCAGGATAGGCAGAATGTGAGATTTTTGCCAATGATGTATTCTTCTTGGTCTGTTTAATATCCGTTATCAATTTAATGTGCCACTCTAATGAGATTTTGCTTTTTCCATCTCCGCCGTAGAGCTGATTACTTAGCATATGTGGTTTTTCTTTGGTTATTATTATTATTTTATTTGTTTTTAAGGAAACTACAAGAGAAGTTGAACATTTGCTTCGGCTGAAGAGAATGTTTCCCAAGTCTTGGGCAGAAAAAGGGAAAGAGAACGGAGGACGTTGCTGGTAGGTATGTCTGACAGGAAGCCATGACTAGCAGTGTGACTGTCAACAGGAAACAAAACTTCACAGCCGACGTGACGCTGACGTGCAGAACACTTGCTGTGTCGTGTTGCCAGCTGAACTCTGTGACCTGGGGAGCAGTGTTTGACTGCATGAGGTGTACTTCTGTCCATTCGTCTGCAAGAATTTGAATTGCTCTGAGTCTGGTTATTCCACTTTGCCGAAACTAGCGAGCCTTGTCTTTTTTCTCTTGACACCTGCTCCTGTGAAGACATCCAGCAGCCATGTGCAGAGAGGTGGATGTGTGAGCCACCCTCACGGCGGCCACCAAGCGCTCTGCAGACTGCAGACAGCTTCGAGGTGTTTTGGCTGTTCAGTGCTCTGCAGATATGAACGCTGAGCTTTTCTGGCACGTTCTCACGTTGGCCTGGTCGCTCTCACCATGCTAGTACATGGGAAAGAAGACTTCCTCTCAGACATAGCTTACATCATCCTGGAACTGATCATTGCAGTGCTGGCCATCCTGGGGAACGTCCTGGTCTGCTGGGCGGTCTATTTGAACAGCAACCTGCAGAACGTCACCAACTATTTTGTGGTGTCCCTGGCTGCTGCTGACATTGCGGTGGGAGTGCTGGCAATCCCATTTGCCATCACCATCAGCACTGGCTTCTGTGCCTTCTTCTATGGCTGCCTTTTCATCGCCTGCTTTGTCCTGGTCTTGACGCAGAGCTCCATCTTCAGCCTGCTTGCTATTGCCATCGACAGAATCATTGCCATCCGCATACCCCTCAGGTAAGCAGAGTGGGCTGGAAAGCAGAGGGGGCACTTAGTGGGGAATGAGCATCAGTAAAAGCAGATTTCGAGGTAAACTGCAGAAGGGAGAGCTAATGAGCAGCAGTATTTTTCACCTTGTAATTTGAGAAAACAAAATCGAAACCCGCGTTCCTGGGGGCTGCCTTGGTTGCTGGGTTTGTGAGTGATTTCTTTCCTGTTCTACCCAGCCCTCATATGGCACGTGCTCAAAGCTTTGCAGCGGAGCTGCCTGGGAGCTGCTGCTCCATATTTAGAAAGGAGCACACTGTACACTCACAAACCTGTGCTCTGAGCCCTGGCCAGCAACACAAGTGCTGCAGGAAAGTGGAGCTAAAGGGAAGAGAAGCAGCACGTGGCCACCTCAGAGCTCAGACTATAGAGGTGACAGCTCTTCCCCACCAAGCAGCTGGGCCAGCCCTGCGTGAGCACCCATCACTCAGCAACAGCCAAAGCATCAGTGTGCACTTAACATTGCCTCAGCTGAAACCAGGGCACAGGGAGGGCACAGTGCAGGGCTGACTCAAGTGATGGCAAATAATGTTATGCATTTTGATACACTGCCTGAACAGAGTCATGTGAACAGTGAAAAAACACGGAGCATTGCTTTCCATTTTGATACAGGAATTTGAGAATAGATTTCAAGATTTCAAAAAGAAAAATCATCAATTTATATTTGCAACTCCTTTTTCAGTTGTTATAAATACATGACCTGCAAATTTTCGAATGGAATGTATACAGCTCCAATCAGATATTCAACTTAAAAATTTGATCATGTCTCTTTACTGGACTTCTATAAGCCCTCTCTTATCAGGGAGAAATATCCCTCACAACCACACCTTATTCATGTCATCCTCTTTCGGCAGTACACACATTTCTGAGCAGCTGTTTTCAAGGATGAAGCACAGGAAAAATAACATTTCATCAAAAATCTCTGATGAACACCTTGAGAGCTCACTGAGGCTGGCAGCCACTGAACCAGTTAGTTTCAGAAAAACAAGGCCAAATATCCCACTAGTTTTATGCATTTGTTGCTCTCTTTCTATTAAAATGTAAAAAATAAATGTCTTGTTACTTATCTATAACCTATATTGTATATTTTACAAAGGCTGCTCCAAAAGTAATGCCTCCTGTTTAATGATGTTGGCCTGTGATGTCAGAGGCAGATGTTGGTGGGATGGCAGTAGAGAATGAACCTTCCCACCAATATTCTGTTCGATTCCATTGGTGTGTGACAGATGGCAGCAGAGGGGCACTGTGACAAATGGCATCTGACATGGAAGTGTGAATGAAGCAAAGGTGTGGAATCAAATTCCTCCATGTGGAAAAAAATGGCTTCCATTGATATGCATTGATACTTGCTGGACGTTTATGAAGTTTAAGGACATTGAGTCTGTTCCACTGGTGTAGATATTTATGGGCATAGCATACAGGCTCTTATTCATTACTAGGAAAAATGAGCAGCTAATGATGGTGCCTATGTTAAAAACAGTGTTTTGCAGCTGAGAAGTTGCTCTATCAAAGAGTATTATTGTGCTTTTCATATCAGTTGTCTTTTCCATGGAAATAATCAGGAGGCATTACTTCTGAAGCAACACATGTAGATGCAGATCAAAACAATTCCTCTTCACTCAATGCAGCCCAATCCAAAAAGTTGGATACCCATGTATTAGGTCAAGAGAAGGGCTTGTCCCCATGCCAGCCTTGAAGTTTGTTGTTCTATGGTCTCCACTTTGGCGTTTAGAGGGCAGCCTGGTCTGGTGGTTGGCGACCCTGCACATAGCAGGGGGTTGAAACTAGATGATCGTTGTGGTCCTTTTCAACCCAGGCCATTCTATGATTTAAATACTTGAGTCTGGAAGCTGGATGTGACTTGCTGCTACTTGGTGTGCAGCCAGGAAGGATTTGGGACAAGGGGGACAAGAAGTTCAGCCTTCTGTATTGTGTCTAGATACATCTGCCTGTGGGTGCAAAACAGCACTGAGTTTTGTGGGCTGGGTCTGAATGCTTTGTGGCAATGCTTGAGAGTTGTTCAGCAAGCTCAAGTTGCAGAGGAAGCCCTGGGAGAGACCAAAGCTTGCAGAGCATAGGAGCCTCCTTCTTTTCCATCTTGTCCTTAGGAGGATGCAGCATGCTCTCACCATGGAGAGACTTCCTATCCTGTTGAGTAAGAAATACGACTGCAAAAATGGAACAAATTCTCATTATTGTCCTCTCAACTTGGGGGTTTTGGTTATCCTCAACCCTGTTGAGTTTAAATCTCTTTCTGCCAGCCTGTCTAGTTTAGTTTTGTCCATTCTGCATACATTGCTCACCCAGCACTTATGTTGGTTAACATAAATCTCCGATTCCCTGCTCTACCTTTCCACGTGGACCAGTGCAGCATAGTCATTCCTGAAGGCTCATCTCAGCTCCTGTTAATTGCTGATTTCCAAACTTACAGTTATGTAACAGTCTACTTTTGGTGTAGTCATAAGGAAAAGTGAATCTATTCCATTGCAGAGGAAAACTATCTATGTTAGTACCTATAAATTAGACTGTTTTCACTTTTCTGCATTTCCACTGATAAATGTTTTCAGTTCACAGACCAGTGTGATAACAAATGCACAAGGAAGCACATGGAGAGCAGCCTTGCATCTGACTTGGTTTTGAAAAGATGAAATGTCTTCAGTCTCTTGCAATCGAACTCTGGAAACTTTTGCTGACAGTTTTAGCATTCATATGGTTAAAGAACGACTTTCCAGGAAAGGGATTTTAAAAATCTGGATTTTTGCTTATTATTATTATTATTATTATATATATATTTGGCATTATCTTTAAAGTTTAATTTTCTGGACTAGCCAAAGTAGAGTATCTTTCAGAAGAAGTCTTTCTGACTTGCCCAGCACTGGGCACTCTACCTGTTTCACTGTTCTGTTTTAGAAATAACAGAGCACACCCTCTTCCAGCCCAGAAGCAATGGAGTTGATTGGCTGCAGAAACCAGCAGGTAGATCTCTGGGTTCCTCCTCCTCGTCCTCTATCAGTTTGTCCTTTTACAAAGGGAAGGAAGAAGTTGTCAATTCTGTTTTCCTCAGAAGAGTTTATGGGTGAATAAACATTAGATTTATAGCTTCTGACATGCTGAGAAAGTGAAAGCTATTAGCCCAAGAGGGAGAAGCAGTATGATTCAGACTGCTCACATCTCACCTTTTACTTTCTAATACCTGGTTGTCTCAAATATGCATCAAACCAATGGAAGGAAAGTTCTCCCACTAAAAATGCAACGCTTTTGCATTCTTTAATGGGAAGACCTTTGAGGAGAATACCTCTTCTCTCCCCCTCAGAGGGTAAGAAACGTAACATCAGACATTCCCAATATTAATTTAGATAAATACTCTTACAAATAAATGAGATCTCCTTCCTATATTCTATAGGGGGAAGAAAAAAAAAAGCACCAAACCTATTTTTTCTCCTCATTTAACTGTTCCATACCCAATTTGTCCTAAGGCAACCATGCACCTCGATGGATATCTGCATGGTTGTGTACACCCACACAAATAAGCTGTAAGCATTAAGGAGGCAGAAGAATAAGATTTCTTATTCTGCTTGGTTTTGGACACCTTGGTACACAATTGGTGTTAAGTTTGGAATGATTTTTCTGTGGTTAAAAGAGCCTTCCCCAAGAAATGGCAGTGAGGAAAGGCACGTATAGGTAACATTTAAAAATAGAAGAAAAAAATTGTTAATTGTCAAATAATCAAAACATTTTGCAGAATTTCAAAAAGTTCTCAAACATTTGCTGAATCCTGCCAGCTTTCATACAAGTGTAGCTCTCTGAAAGTGGCAACAAAGCACTCCCAAGGAAGCGAGGCCAAGCCATTGTTCTGTGTAGGACTAAATGCAAACTGTCTCTAGCATGGCAGGTACCTGAAAACCTGCACTCACTGATATAAAACCCCTGGGTGTTCGAAACAAAACTGGCTGCGAGTCTGAGCTCCGGGATGAAGTCACGGGCCAAGAACAATTGCCACTTTCCAGGCTCTTTGGTGCCAGGAAATGCTCCGAGGGCACCGTGCCCAGCCACGTGCTCTTGTGCATGCACTGGTGGTGCAGAGATTCCCATGCTGAAGGACAGGTAGCTCTGATGCACTGGAAGGAGAGAAGGTGTTTCTTTCTGCAACCAAATAGAAAAGTTTTCTCAGGTTACTGCTGGCTTCAGGTGTGGGTCTGTGGCAGAAATCCATGCAGTCATGCAGTGCCAACTGCAGGAGCTGGAAGTGGAGACCTTGTCCTCTGAAGGAAGGTACTTTGGAGACAGCTGACTTTCTTAAACAGTTGTAAATGAGCATCTGAATCAGTGGTTTAATGTTTTATTGCCACTTTGACCCACCTGCTTCTTTCCCTGCTCACCATAAGCCTTTTGACCTTATGCCAAGCATTTCCTACAAGTGCTCATATTTTGTCAAATAGATTGTGAGCAGATTCAGCCCACTACGAAATAATGATTTGCTTTCTCATTCTAACAACCACGGGCACAGCTTTGAGAGCAACATGAGTTGTCTATGGCTTTGTGTGCTGCGGTAGAACTTGCTGCTGCCAAAGTTGTGGTCTGGAAGCTGGTAGTGCTGTGAGCAAAAGAGAAGTGCCTGCCCACTGCTATTGCTTCTGATGCTCTGAGCCCTGTGCCTGGCTGTGGGATCCCATCCTGCCTGTCCCCATAGCATGATCAAGTACCAGTGTCAAGTATCATCTGATAACAATGGAGGATGTTCCATTGTTTTGGGAATTAGTTGTTTGAATGGTGTGTGAGAAGGTCTGGGTTTGATATCCTGCTCTAAGATTTCTTAAATGATCTGGGATTGTCAGCATCTCTCATTTTCAGATACATGTTACAGGGATAGAATATCCTCCTGCCCCTGCAACTGCAGCTGCCAGGGGTGTGTGGGCTGTTGGGTACTGGGCTGAGCGAACAGTGTTTGCAGAGTTGTTCAGAAGCACTGAGCACTGCTGGAATTCAGATGGAAGTGCAGTGCCCTCCACGTGCAGCACATTGCTTTGTGATGCAGTGACAGTGGGTGTGAGCTCTGCACATGGTGGGGACTTTTGAGTGAGGGGAGCCATGCTGTCAGCCAGGGCTGGGTTTGGAAGACAAGCAGCACATCAGGCAGAAGCTGGGATGGTGAGTTAGGCCAGCTACAAATCATGCAGTGGATGGAAGGATTTTAACCTCTATCTGAGGACCCTGTGATTCTCATACCAGCTCTGCCTTCCACCCTGTTTCAAGACTTACAGGTCAGACAGGTGATGCACTATGCTTTCTGCTTTAGTCATTATTTTGATGGCAGAGCTTAGGTGAGGGATCATAAGGTATCACATCTTCAGCCAATTTAATTTAGGCAGCACAGGGGAGTTGTGCATTCACAAGAGCAGCTGCTCCCCTGGAAACAGTTTGCTGGTGGGAGAGCAGCAGGGCAGGCAGAATTATCTGGGGGAAAGACACCCATGCTTGCAAGTATTTGCACAAGTAGATTTGACTTTATGGAGGAGCCAGGTACCCCAACCCCTCACCCACCTCCACCCTGAGTGTCTCTGCTCTGCACATGTGTTCTCAGTGCCTGCAGTTTCACCAGCAGTTGTTGTTTGTGTAGCAAGTCCAGTATTTCCAGGAAGCATGAGAACTGCTCGTGCACACTCAATCCAGTGCTGTCTGGACACATCAGACATGCTACAAAGTCATTCTCCAGCTACGCAGAGCATGGGCTGTAGGTGTGAGCATCTCCTTTCAGCGGGCTGCACCTCCTGCATCAAGATGTTAGCAGCTCAAACTGCGTGATGCTCCCTGAAAGCCCTGACCTTATCATCCAGAGCTGTACAGCACTGTGGGTACAGGCAGCAGTTTTGGCCTGGGGCCCAGAAAGACACCCAAAGAGATGCTACACATGGTGCTGTGAGCTTTTGCTCTTAGCCCGTGGAGATGCTGAGCATTATAGAAATGTACTGATAAATTGATAGCACTGCCAACTTGGTACAGTGCAGCTGGGAAGCAGACGGCTGCTTGGGTTAAGTGCTGTTCCTAAGCCTTGTAAAGTTTGTTGCATGGGAATCCCCAGAGGGTAAGAAGGAGGGAGAAGCTGGAGTGGGGTGGGGGGGAGTTGTTTGCCTGGAGCAATGATGAATGTATTTTTAGTGGAAGGGATGGGACATCTCTAGTCGTGGGATAACAGCTGCACAATTTCAAAATTCCTCTGACAAGATGTAGCCAATTCCAGGGCTGGAGGGTTTTGTGATTTTTTTTTTTCTTCTTCTTTTTTTTTCCAAAGCTCCAAGTGCCTTTGGCCAACCTCTTGTTTCCCAAGGGTATTTTTCAAAGCACAGATGCTGTTTCGCTGTGTTAATTAGCTCTGAATGTAAGCAGTTTCTCTGCTAGCATCCATGCTGTGTTCTCAGCTTCCTATAGGCACTGAGAAGGATCCATCTCTTGCTAGAGAGAACTTTTTATGTCCCAGGATCAGCTGAATCCCTCTCTAATTTCTGGAAGGTGAATTTCAGTGTATTTTGAGTGCTGGGAATTGTGGTTAGCTCCTTCAGCTGTTCCTCCTTTTCTGATTTTAAAATGCAGCTGTGGAATGGAGGATGGAGCCTGCCAGGTTTTATATCAGCCAGGTTGTTTCCAGAGCCCACCAGCAGGGATTTAAAGTGCATGCAAGATCACCGTTCATTGCTGTGCCTGGAGGAAGCAGCATCTCCCTTCCCCTGCTCTAAACTGGTATTGGGATAGGAGCATGAACCTATGGGAGGGACTATCTCATTGAGAGATGGAAAGATTTCTGTGGCTGGTTGGATTATTATTATTATTTTTAATGTTTATTTTGCTGAGAGAATTCTGGAGACAGAGGGAGAAGGAGAACTGGGTAAACAACACTGGTAGCCCAGAGCTGCTGTGGTCCGATTGCAGACACATGGGGTCAAATGCAGTGTGGGACCCACACTGGACAATGTGGGAATCCAGCCATCTACTTTCTATGCTAAGTGTTACCAAGTAAAGGAAATTGCATTGAAATGTTAAACTGTTGCCCTGATTTACATTTTCAGAGAGAAGAACTGGTGGAGTCAGCTCAGGACTCGCAGTAACCTGTGAGGCCTTGGGAACTGGCTGATATTTCAAACAAACAAAAGTCCCTGGCTGCCCTGTCAGGTTCTTACCATGTTGCTTATTGTCTTGTTCAACAGATCTTGGTGGATTTATTGCTAGGAGCTCTGAGTTGAGCTAGGTATATCAATATCTGAATCACTGAGGTTGCTTTTGGTGTGTGCAGTGCAGCCCACAGTATACCTGTGGTCAGAGCACTCTCCTTAGCTTAACTCCTATTTTATGAGAAAGATATGGGGTCAGCTTTGCTGGGCTGGTGAGGAAAACTGCTGGCCTTGTCTCAGTTATTTAAGGAAGGCTGGTGATGCAGGACTTGTTGACAGCGGGAGCAAAGTGAGGTAGTGTGCAGGGGAATGGCAGCCTGACCTCTGCAACAGACTCAGTCAGCAACAGACTTTCCCTGGAACCTACCTAGGTTATGGGGCAGTGGCACTGTGCCTCCCGTCCTTTGGTGCTGTTTGGCTTTCAGATGGATTAATGGTGAGACAGGCATAGCAATTCTGTGCTAGAAGCCTGCTTCCTTGGCAGAATGGAGGAGCCATCTCTATGCCTTTGGCAGAGGAGCCATAGTGGCCTTCACCACCAAGGGTCAGAACAGTGACGCCAGTTATCCAGGTTGCAAGACCTGCATGCATGACCAAGTGAAATAGTGGAATGAAGCTGAAAACCATTTTAATTTCCCTGCTTTTCTGTAGCCTATCCATTGCCTAAAGGAGCAAGGAGGGAACTAGATGGCATGCAGTGTCACTATGGAGTCCATGCTGGGCTGGGTGGGTTCTACACAGCAGTTCAAAGGTCTGGCTGAAGAAACAGATGCCTGTCTTGCTGTCTTCTTCCTTCTAGGGCACTTGGACCATCATCTGGGTGTCAAGGGCTTGTTGAATGACATTGGTGTAATTCTCCTTTTTTCCTCTGCTTTACAGGTACAATGGCTTGGTGACAGGCTCTCGAGCCAAAGGTATCATTGCCATCTGCTGGGTCTTATCTTTCATCATCGGCTTGACACCAATGCTAGGGTGGCACAAGCGTTCCCAGATTGAAGAGCTGGGTGCTAATAAGTCCTCTCCCATCAACTGCAGCAACAGTATGGTGGTATGTCTCTTTGAGGCTGTGGTCACCATGGAGTACATGGTCTACTACAACTTTTTTGCTTGTGTGTTGTTGCCTCTTCTCCTCATGTTTGGCATCTACTTGAAAATCTTCATGGCAGCCCGACGGCAGCTCAAGCAGATGGAGAACAAGATGGTGCATGGGGAACGCTCACGTTCCACTCTGCAGAAGGAAGTCCACGCGGCCAAATCTTTAGCCATCATTGTTGGCTTGTTTGCAGTCTGCTGGCTTCCACTACATATTATTAACTGTTTCACCCTTTTTTGCCCAAATTGTGCCCATGCTCCCCTCTGGCTGATGTATCTGGCCATTATCCTGTCTCACGCCAACTCGGTTGTAAATCCTCTAATTTATGCCTACCGAATCAGGGAGTTCCGATACACCTTCCGTAAAATCATCAGCCAGCATATCCTGGGAAGGAAAGAGCAGTTCAAGGCAGGAACAGCCAGCATTAGGACTTCCACACATGGTGGGGATGGAGAGAATGCCAGCATACGAATCAGTGAGTATGCGTTAGAAGTGTACACCAATGGAGAGATCCACAGGGATCCTGAAAAGCAGGACTTAAACAAATGCAAAGCTGTCTTGGAATGGCACCAGAATGGAAGTGCTCTGGACATGGAGACAAATGGGCATCTCCCACGTTCCTGCAAAAATGGGATTCTCTCAGATGCGTGTGTGAGCAGGGAGCTTCACCATGAAGAGTTAATAGATGCCCAGGTGTCTTTCTCAGATCTAGAAAGCACAGCCTTTGCAGCAGCTGATGTTTCCTGATGAATCGTTCACAGTCTTCCTGGTATAATTATTTTATTTTCCATGGGCAGCCTCTGCCACGGCAGAAGATGAGGCTGGGGGGCGGGGGGAGAGAAGTGTATTCAAGTTACTGTGGAGAAGGGGTCCTTACCCAGGACTTGTTGTGGCAATCCTAAATACTAGACTGGAGAAAAAGCCAAGAGACCATTGAAACAGACTGAGAAAGGAGGGACATGTAATCCATCGATGACCTGTCACCAAGAGCAGTGACAGGGTCAAAGATGGCATTCCAAATTGAGCACTGGGAGACTGCTGAAGCAGGGCATATCGTGACATTATGCTACACTGTGTGTCTGTGGTTGTACGTCTGTTTTGCTGTCTTTACCAACAGAAATAAAACCATGGCTGAAAGCATTCACTTGATTGTAAGAGCAACAAGGAGGAGCCATCTGATTCTTTGGCCCTGCAACAAATGGAAGGAAGATAGCAACATCAGGAAGGATGCCATCAGCTGCCTGGACAAGAAAGGAATTTACGTGATGGGAGCTTTGGATACCTTCAACCATGACATTTTGTCTTTCAGTTCATGTTTTTAAAGCTTATAGTGCAACAGGTTGCTCGGATGTTTTTTCTTGTCTTGATTAGATTACATTATGTTAAGTTATAAAGATGAACAAGAACTCACATCCATTCCCTGGGCGCTCAATGTTCCAGATGCACAAGACAAATGTAACCTCATAGTTCTCCACTCTATCCAACAAATAATGAAAACTAAGACTTAAATGGAGTTCCCTTAGCAAAAGGACAGTCAGCAGGACTTGGTGCTAGAGCATGGATGGTCTTCATCACCAGGGGTGGTCATGTCCTGGGATGCTGTGGAGAATCATCAGGTGTTAGGTGTCTGCAGGCTGGTGGGCACTGTCTGGCTACTGCTTTTTCCTCTGTGTCTATGCCTGCCCTGGGTTCCCAGAGTACAAATTATTTCCATGGTCCGAAGTTGTCATTCTCAAAAGTCTGTGGGATACATTTTTTTTTTATTTTTTGATGGGAAGGCAGGGTGGGGAATGACACAGGATGAGACATATCTACTTACTTTTGGAATCCCAGCTCAGTCTGAACATCTTTTTCTCCTGTGGTTTCAGTTGTTTCCTGATGTGCTTTACTGTGAAGCCTGATGTATCCCAGCAGTGCAGAGGCCAACAGATCTCAGTCTGTCTGGTTAGAAGATACTCTGAGGAGCTGGAAGCAGTCAGTGTTAGTAGAAGTCTGCTTAGAAACTGCAGTAGTATGTGTAAGAGAGCAGGCAAATCTGCTACAGCAAAGGTATGCACTGATATGATTTGTCGTAGAGGAGTTTCACAGCAGTTTAGTAATTTTCTGTATCACCTATGAGGCCGTGGTAGCTCAAGGACAGCTGAGTGCCATGTTAGCTTGTATTCTACCTAAATATTTTCCAGCCTCTGTTTTTCAGACAAATACTCTATGCCCTGTGCCATCAGCCTTCCAGGGAGATGGGCAATAATGGTCCTACTAGGAAGTTAGAAGTCTGGCAGTTCTGAGGATCAAGAGTTTTTCCTTAGCTAAAAATATCAGAAGTGTCAGCCTACAGCCCTGGCTCCTCCTCGTGTCTCTCCATTAACATTTCAGAACCCAGATAATCTCATTTGTAGGAAGGAAAGTGGAGCTGCATGTTGGTATTTGGAGAAGAGCACACTAGGTTTGTGTGTTCTCTGTCCGTGTTTATTTTAAATATTGTGAGAATTAAAATTAAGTTTTATTTGAAGAAAGTTTTCTTTTTTTTTCCAGTCTGTCTGAATGATGGTGAAGAGTGGTTTATAATACTGAATGTGTCCAAACTACGTGACTGCTCTAGGCTAGCAAAAAGCTTACTGTAAGCTGGGCAAAAGGATGTGTTTGTCACCACAATCCTTAGCAGAAGGACAGGCAAGTATATAGAACAGTAGACTCCACAGTTTAATTGAATTGCTGCTTACTTGGCATGGCTCTACCACACAGTCTAACGTCAGAGATGTGGATTATCACTCTAGCACCATTAGCAAATACATGGCCATTTCCCTATGACTGATGCTGTAGGCAGGCCCTCTGCAGGGAGACTTGGGATCTTGTTGCTCTTTATCTTCCTTGATGGAATATTTCTGTCGGCTCTGTGCAGGATGACTCCTCTGGCCTCCTGAAACAGCAGCAGAGGAATTCAGTCTGAAAAATGGGGATCTGATCTCCTTAGGCCTCAGCTGGGAGCTGAAATGTTTCTAAGAATAACACAAGATTACATCCGGTATTCATGTCAATAACAATTAGGTTCACAAAGAAGCAGAGCAGGGAAGGAAGTGTGGGAAAATACCAGTGTAGCTCATGTGCTGGAATACAGGCAAGTGCAGAAGTGTCTCCTATTGAGCTTTAGTTGCCATTGTAAAGGGATGTTTTATGCCACGTTGCATCAGACTTTCAACAGCTGATGTAGGTTGGTGGCTTTCTATTGTTTCCTGAGCTTCTTCACACTCAATTGTGGGTTCTTCTTGCTTGATTGCCACAAGAACTGAATTGATCTATGTTGATGTGACAAAATTAAGATTGTCCCTCTGGAAAACTATCCTGCCCAACCAAAATAAGATTGCCATGCAAACTCAGAGTATCCAGATATCCTGAAATCAGTTTTTCTGTCACTGTTTGAGTTGCCTCCCAACTGTATCCAGTCCCTTTCAACATTAGTGATCTAGATTTCAAATGAAAAAGGGCCAGGGGATGTGTGTAGGAGGATGTGCAGTGGTTGTAAGGAGGCAGCGTGTTTTGTATGGGATTGGAAGTCTGTAGTCACAGGAAGGAGTGGATGGCCAATTGCACCACATGCTGCGTGCCTTCTGGCAAACATATGTCTGAGATGGACCTTCAGAAGATGTTTCTGAAGTTGTTGGGGGGAGCGTGAGCCTTTTGAACAGAATTTTGGAATTCTTATTTCTTGTTTCATGATTTCAAGGCTTCCTTCCTTTTATTGAAAAAGAAGTTTTAGAATCCCATGAATAAAATATGCTCTCCATTCTTGAGAAATGCACCTCTTCCAAACTACACTGAGCAAGAGTCGTTTGGAAAGTTAAAATTTAACATTTTTTTCCTAACTTCCCTACTCATATTGCCATTTTCCTTCCAGCTGGAGATTTAGCTGATGAAATAGCTATTCTGGATAAACAAAGATGGTGCAAGACAAAGGGAAGAATGAGGTGACCAGCAGGAGAGGATAGAGAAGATCTCCTTAGGAATCCAAGGTGCAGTGGGTCCAGAGAGTAAGAGCTGGGGTAAGAAGAGACTAATTTCATTGAATTGGAACACGTTACTAAAAATGGCTCAAAATCCATAGAGGGATGCAGTGCCTCATTTGGTGAGAGGGCATTCCATGAATTTCACCATTCCCTTGAGACTACTAGGCTCCAGGGTTTGTCTGCTTTATAGGGCTTTGGAGAAAGTAAAATTCTGATCAGTTGCCAGGAGTAATTTTATCATGAGGAGTTCTTAGGTCTCTTTCTCAGTAGGGCACTGCTTTTTTGTGTGTGCAAATAAATGCACTTAGAATTTTGTTCTGTGCTTTCTTTTGGATCGGCAGTATCTCAGAGTTTTGTGCAAGCTTGAATATACAGCTTATGAATGGAGCAAAGTGAGATGAGAAGGAGATGTGGTGAGGCTGATACTGGTTTGACAGAGGGCATGGCAGGACAGTTGGGGTACTGTAGACAGAAAGGACTTGCCACTGGTCCTAGCTGGTGCTAGCAAGTTTATTGTCCAGACAGGTTGGGAGTTACATGGGATACTCTGAATCTTTGATTTTTCATTGAAAAGAAGCTCTGAGAGATGCTGGAGGGTATAGGAAAGTCTGTAAGGTGTGGGGACAGACTGGGGTGTTAGGGTTTGATGGGAAATCTTGACGTGGAAGGAAGATTTGTAGGGTATGTGTTTGGGAGGTTATCGTGGGAGCAGGAATGTGCTGGGAAGAGCTGAGGTTTGCACTGATAGCCTCAGAGGAGTGGGGATGGCTGAATAAGGACTCTGGAAGGGATTTATAGTCTTATGGTGCTCCTGGGTCACTGCAGAGGGGCAGCCTTGCCCTGATAGCTGCAGGGGGTTGACTTTGTGTGGTTTATATGTGACTGAGGAAGAGACATTTTTCTGGATTATCTCATTTTCAGATGCATATTTCATAAGCACAGTCAGGTGAAATGAGCCTTTCTGCTTCACGAGCATCACCCCACACACACACCATCCTACCCCCTGTTAAAATCAGTTCAGCCATGCTTTGTGGGAAGGACAAGCATACTGTAACAGCTGTGATGCATTGAAACCGTAGAATGCTCACTAGAGGTGTTTGGTACATCAGCTGCCTCATAGTTCTCTCCTGATTTGTTTTGGGCATCAGATTGCTCTGAGACAGACCGAGGAGCTTTGTTTTTCTGGCCCTGAGCGTCTGACCTTTTTTACCAGTAAAACACATCAGGAGGAACTAAAACGACACCAGTTCCTGATTTGCACAAGGCAACTAAATCCTAAATGAGGCAGTGTTCTGTATAGCTTCCTGTGTTATTCGTCTGCTGGGACTCTTAACACAAGAATGTGTTGCATTCAAGACTGGAACCTGTTGATCTGAGAACATCCTTTGCTTCCCCTGTTCTGTCTCAGGAGCTGGTGTTCCTGCCCCCATTTCTTTGGAGGGTTGTCTCTATGGTCTGTCAGCCAAGACACTACGAACACCTGCTGCACATGCTGTCACTAAGAAACACTTACTCTTTTAATTTAAATGTTTTACGAATATAGTTGTTGTTTTCCCTCTGTTTGTCAGTTACCAGTGGGAGGGGAGGGAAAGGGGTGGGAGAATCTGTGCATGCATATGTATTTAAAGTGCATTGACCAAAGTTTGTTTTCTTTCTTGAACCTGTGAAGTTTTAATATCTGTGAAGTCATCAGACTGCTGGGCAGTGAGGAGCCACTGGTGCTGCTGAGTCTGTCTTGGTTACATTTCTTAATAAGCATTAAAATAATAAAATATATTTGTAAAAGTGAGCATGAGTGTCTTTGTTCAAGGGAGATCTGTCTATTTTGTGAACGTTTTATTATTCTTTTATTAGCTTTTTCCATAGGCTCGTTCTTCCAGAGAGCTCTTTTCCCTGGTGCTACCTATTAAAGATGTCAGCATGGACAAGGTGACGGACCCAGACGAACTGGGAGCCCCTCACAACTCTGACATCCTGGGATCTGTCATTCTGGCAGTGAGAGAAAATGTTTACAGCTGTGTCCTGAACACGAGGTAGAACACTGTATTTTCCCAAAACACTGCAGTGTCAGGAACGGTGTTACATAACAGAACCTGGAAGAGGTACCTGGAACCGCAATGACTGGAGCATCTCAGCCTTCTGGCTCCTTCCACACATCAGATCTCCCTCTAACACCATTGCTTCAACCCTCTCTCTGCCAGTGCTGCTTAGACTGGGCTTGCCCAAGCACGATGTCAGCCAAAGTAGTCTGGAAATGGAAGCAGTGAATCTAGATGCTACTGGTGCATCTCAGGCCAATTCTGAGCAATGTTGACAGAACGCAGCAGGAATAATTTCCAGCTTTTCACAGCTGGCAGCTACTAAATGAGTATGGGGGGGGTTTGTGAAAGTCTGTACGATCCAAGAGAATTTGGAATTGGGAAGTGTTGAAATGAAAGTTCATCAGATAACCATCAGCTACTGCTCATTTCTTTTCCCGTTCACTTTGCAGCTGGATTGGAGGCCTCACTGGAGGCCCTGCTTTGTGGAGAGGTGCCGGCACCCTGGTGCTGCTGTGCCCGAGTTGTTCAACCAACTGTGTAATTGAAAAGCTTTTTGATTTTTCCCCTCCTTTTGCAAACAGCCTGCGTTTTGTTCTGCTGCATCAAAGGCCAGGAGCTGGGAGGAACAATGGGTCTGCAGGAGCGCTGGGGAACAATGGCTGTACCTGGTCCTGGGAAGAAAGCAAGAACTTGGAAGAACAGAGAGAGCTCCCAGTTCAGCAACACAATTGGCCTCATCTGGAAATCTAACTTTGGAAATCTACACCTTGGCATGGTCAACCAGAGAACCTGAACTGCAAGGCTGCTGCTGTAGACTGAGCTGAGGGACAACATAGCTCATCAGTGCAACCTTTACTGCACTACTGGGAACTGATGACATTTTTGAGTGTTGAAATAGGATGGAGCAGTGGAGCATGGCATTTTCCCTGCAAACAGGTGGATGATGTGCTTTGTCTAAAAGGTGTTTTACAGCTTTAAAGCAGCAGGATCTTCCTTGTCACTTCTGCCCCTGAACAGGAAGCTTTTGCTGCTAAGAATAGTGCATACGAGTTGCCTGCTGTGCTCACAGCCACCATGTATTTCAAGGAGAAATTTTGGGGGGTTAAAAGCTCTGAGCATCTTTTCTGGGGCCCTATGGACCTCACAATTTACGTTCACAGGAAAGATTCCCCCTGTCTTGCATTTGGCCAAAGTGAACAAGTGAGATTCTCCATGTGCGACTTCTGCCAGCTCAGATCCTGGGAGGAGTCCACCTCTGATCCCTGGAGTTAGATGATGCAACTCACTGCAGACACTGGAGTCTCACTGAATATAAATGGAGATGCGTTATTCTTCCTGACCTCCCATTCTCCTTTTCAGTGCTGTTCTGGGAAGAAAGGAGGGTGCTTCTGGATATTGGAGTCATTTCCTCAGAAATGACCCAGTGGATGGGACTGTTGTAGGATTTTTTGGCTGCAGGGTGCACTATTCTTGCGAGCAGTATCATTGCTCTGCTGTGAAACTGCAGTGTTTGCCACTGAGACCCTGCTGAGTGACAGGAAGTTTTACCCAGATCTCAGAAAATCAGAGGTTCATTTTGAAAAGTAGAGTCCTCACAGTGCATGAAACCAAATGAGCTGTGCCAAGCGTGGGGCTGAGAATAGCATGGTGATATTTGGGCAAGTGAAAGGCAAAGAACTTTTGATCTCCAGGTTCAGAGTAAACTGTGTAAAGATGAGGTTATATGGAGTGCAGATCCGTACTGTGTGGTCTGAGCCCGATGCACTGAACTCCAGACCTGGGACTGTGGTTTCTGGGAGTGTCTTGGTGCTCTCCAGAGAGGTGACTGCAACTTCTCCAGAGTTCTGGACAGCCTTTAAGCCTGCTAGCTTGGATACTGAAGCACCAGAGCTGCAATCACTCAGGTTTTGTTTGCCAAGGATTTACCCAGAACCCTGGGCAGCTCTGATTTTTTGCCTTACCTAAGGCAAGGAGATTAGATAACAGCTTGGAATGAGAGTAAAGAAAGTCCATGCACATGGAGTATCTTGCTGCCTCAGCTGTTGGTG